AAAATTATTACGTTATATTCATATTATATATATAATTATGTGTGTATTTAATAAAATTTATGTCTTTTTTCAATTATTTTACATCTAAACATGTTATTTTATATGAAACATGTTTTCTTAAATAAATTATTCAAACAAATTTCAATTACTTAAACTAATTTTCTCGCAAAGGTCTATCTAAATATAGATAACATCATATTAACTAACTTTGACTCTAATTTTTATTTACAAAAGTCAATTACAATAAGTGGCTTTTACCTATAGTACTGAAAATCGAACCGATTATTAAACTCGTTGAGACGGTAATTCAAGAACCGGTGATTCAAATTACTGGATTCAACAGGATTTCAAAGTGATCATGATTTAGATAAATAATTTAATTAAAATATATAAAATATTCAAATATAACTCTTGAAAGAATATGGTTAAATAAAAAATATTAATTTATAAGTAAATGGAATATTCATGTATAAATCAACATAATCTTATAAAACAAAGTTATTAAAGCACAAATTTCATGGAATGTTATTTTTAATTTTAAAAATTTAAAATGATATCATTTCAGGTTTAATAAGGAGAAATAAAATACAATAAAATAAAATAAAATTCAATTGGGTGGATCCGTCCAAAAACTTTTAACCAGATCAATCAAAAGACTGATACACTAGTTCACTAGTCAAACCGGGTTTAGTTTTAATATAATGCTTTTCCAACCTCAATCTAAAAGCAATCTTTAGTTATCAATTTTGTGATCTTAATTTGTAGAGAAATTGTAAACTTGTGACGTCATTGGGTTTTTAAATTTCTGTCATTAAAAAAAAAAAAAAAGCGACTTAGCCGTCATTCAATTATTTGAGAATTGTTTAATTACGATATAGTGGAACTATCGTCCTGGCAAGATTACCTTTGCAAACTATCGTATGACGAAAAAATAATTTTGGATCAGACCCGACTTCAACGTCTAAAGATTATGAGTCAAAAGAATCTTAGTTGTCAGGGGAAAATGTAATAACATTGGTTCCTTTAAGATCTGGTTTAAGATCCTACGTTTCCATTAATGGCTTCTTCTTCATCTTCTTCACTTTGGACTCTGCAACAGCAAAAGACCATAGTCCTAATATTATATATAACGAAGCTTTTATCATTCATTACCAGTTCTGCAGGTGGCCCCTGCGTCACCATCTTCAGCTTCGGCGATTCAATTACCGATACCGGAAACTTGTGTTTCAGCTCACCGCCACGACCACCGCCGTTCAGGCGCGGCTGCTCTCCTCCCTATGGCGAAACCTACTTCGGTCACCCCACCGGAAGATTCTCCGATGGCCGTCTCATCATTGATTTCATCGGTCACTCTCAGATTTGGGACTTATGAGACTTCAAATATTATCTGTTTCAACTTTCTTAATATATATTCTTACATAAAATTACTCTTGTTATGCAGCTGAGTCATTAAGCATTCCATTAGTGAAACCATATCTGGGAATTAAGAATGGCCAACTAAGAAATTGGAAGAAAGAGGAGGGAGTGAATTTTGCTGTTGCTGGAGCAACTGTGTTGAGCGTAAGTTTCTTTGAAGAGAGAGGTATTCCTATTGACAATATCAACAATGATTCTCTCAGAGTTCAATTGGGTTGGTTTAGGAATTGTTACCTGCTATCTGCAATTCTTCTTCAAGTAAGTTCCTAGTTTTGCTATGCTAGATATTGTTCGTGTTTATTATACTATATATATTTTCTTTTATTAATTGTCCCGCGTCAAGAACTTTCTTTCACATTCGCATAAAGCATGTAATTGGCATAAATTGAAGCTTCAATTAATTTGCGTCAAATTGCTCATGACATATTTGACACGGACACTATGGGACATACAATATTGTTTTAATTTATATCTTGCAGGCTGCTAGAAAGTGTTTGAGAAGTCCCTATTTCTAGTGGGAGAAATTGGAGTCAATGACTTCAAAAGATTTTTTCTGGCGGAAAGAAGTTTAGCAGAGATCAAAACTTACGTGTCTCATATGATTAAAACAATCTCTTCAACAATAAGTGTAAGATTTTTGAAAAACTATGCAATCACTTCAACTACACAAACACACATCGATCTGTTTGTGTGTATATGTGTTGTATCTTAGTATTCTCATCAAGGATCTTAGTATTTTATTATTGGTCGCATGACTTGATAGATGCAGGGGCTCAAACGCTCATCGTTCCTGGAAATTTACCACTAGGATGCGGTGCAATATATTTAACAATGTTTGAGAGCAACAATAAGAATGACTATGATGAATATGGTTGCTTGATTTGGTTAAACAAGTTTATTGAATACTTCAATGCGAAGCTTCGGGCTGAATTAAATCAGCGTAAAGAGCTTCATCCTCGTGCCGATATTATATATGCTGATTATTGTAACGCTGCATAGCCTCTCTATCATTCTCCCACAAAATTTGGTAATCTTTATTCTTCTAATCAATACTGCTACCTCCTGTCATTAATATACGATCTAGTTTATAGTTCAATAGATTAGATTGGTGCTATGATAGCATTCTGATTTGTGATAATGTTATGATATTGATTACAGGCTTTAAGGGTCTTAAATCTTGTTGTGGAACTGGAGGGGCCTATAATGTAGATTTTACAAAAAGATGTGGAGATGGAAGCGTGAAAGCTTGTGATGATCCTTCCAAGTGCATAAGTTGGGATGGTATTCATTTGACGGAAGCTGCGAATAAATTGATCGCAAGATATTTATTAAAAGGATCCTAAATTTTGTCATTGAAGAAAAATACCTTGAAATTTTGAACAGCCTTTGTGGTTAGGGATTTGCTGTACTTGTTCGATCAAGTCTGTAAGATTCAGTTAATTTCGAAAGTAAATTTGATCCTCACTACTTACTTTATACCACCACTGGTACTTCATGTAAGAATAAGTTTAACATTTAATTGGCTCATAAATATAAATTTTCAATCTGCTTTGTCTCTCATATATATCCATGTTTTCTAAGATAGTTTTTGCAATATAGTTACACATAGTAAAGATTTAAACATTCATAGCAAGAGTATTTTTAAAAAAAATAGCATTTATTTATTACAAATAACTAATTTAACTAATTTTTTTAATCTACTCAAATTATTTAATTAACTCTTATATTAAACATCAGATGTAGTACTTGGTACTGTATAATTGATATGAAAAGTGACATTCTACGTGACTCTTCTGACCAACATAATATATTTACAAAACTGCGGTGTTTGTTTAAAAAAGTCATTTCATATAAAATTTTAAAAGATTTTCCTGCAGTAGTGGGTGAATCACGTAACTAAACAAAGGACTCAAGAGAACACTATAAATAATTAGATACTCTAAAATACTATAATGCAATTTAGGGGAAGAAGATATCTATAAAGGTCCCATCGGAATAAAGAAAATGGCGAGGGGAAAGCATGGCGAATAAGAAACTCATTTTTTTTTTAGAGAAAATTTCAAAAAATACATGTAAAATTTTAAATTTTTAAATCAGGAATAACTACAAAAAATATTATTATTTGTTTTTTAAATATTGTCAATTATTATTAAAGTGTAGTAAACAAAACTGATTTGAAATTTTGAAATTCAAAAGTATTTTTTTGATATTCTTCCTCATTCAATTATTTCACGCCTGAGATTTTATATTTTAAAAATCGACTTCTATTGTGGCATCCAATACACATATTCGCGTCGGTGTACCAGAAGAATTGTATTCAAGATCATATAATCTTTTTTGTCATTGTTTTTAAAAAGCGATTGATTTTTTTCCATTTCTTTAAATCTGGTGTCTATTTTCTAAGTTTTAAAAATTATATAACAATCACGATCCTTAATATAAAATCTAGCTAGAAATTAAATTTCTTAAATATAATATCTATGTCTCAATTGTCTTTTAAATTTATAATATTTTCTCTAAAATATCATTATTGATTGTAAGCAAACATATTAGGGGTAGTTCCAATACATAAGATTGAAAAGAATAATTTAGAAAAGTCAAACACATCTATTAGAATCAACAAACTTAATTAATTTTGTTAATATTTCTAAATTAGTTATCTATCTCTCCTATTAAGGATCAGCGGTAATATATGTATATCAATAAAAGTAAAAGTTGGATAATATGACTCAATTATCATATTCCGATAATATACGGGACCCACCTAATATCGCAATCAAACCACCCAACTCTGGCGGAAAAAAGGGAAGCTTAACGCACCATACATAAAATTTAGTTTTTCCTACCTAATATCATGGTAAGTTGATAACAGTTATTCTAATAACGCATATATTCCTTCAATCCTATATATAAGGTTGACAAAGGCTATTTTTTGAAATCCTTAATACAAGTCACCTAATCAAATTTATTATATAATGAATGTACGGTTTGAATATTAACTTATCATTCTTAGAGTTTTCAAATCTCATTGATTCTTTGGATAAAGTTGAAAAGTTAAAAAAGTTTAAAACAAAGTTAATAAGATTTAAGATTCTTCTTAGTTTCAATAAAACACGCTAGAAGTGTCTGACAAATAGAATTAGATGAATAGATTGTAATTCAGGGAATATGAAACAATGCTTTTATAGGTCCTACGGAACCGTAGAAAACGGACAGGGAAACAATGGTGAATTAAAAAAATAATGTAGTCGTTGAATTATTTGAGAATTGTTTAATCATGAAGGAACATATCGATTTAAATAATCATAGTGGAAGGTAGCAAAAGTAAAAGCCAAGGCAGATCTCATTAACTTTGAATTCAAAATGGTCATATTCCTACAATTGCAATGGCTTTTTCTCCTTCATCTTCTTCACTTTGGACTCTGCAAATAACGACGGCGTTACTATCATTTATTACCAGTTCTTCAGGAAGCCCCTACACATCCATCTTCAGCTTCGGCCACTCACTTGCTGATACCTGAAACTTCTATTTGAGCTCCCAGCCACCGCGGCTCCACCATTGCCTCCGCCCTCCCTACGGGAAAACCTACTTTGGTCACCCCACTGGCAGGTGCTCCGATGGCCGTCTTATCATCGATTTCATCGGTATATCGCTCAAAACTTCTGGGCTTTGTTGGCTGCTGTTGAATATATATATTATATTTATATGCGCTTTTCTATTATTCAATGTATAAATGTTGTTGGAATATTATGGGTTGTGCAGCTGAGTCTATGGGGATTCCATTAGTAAAACCATATCTGGGAATTAAGAATGGAAAGGTGAAGAATTGGAACAAAGAGGAAGGAGTGAATTTTGCAGTTCTAGGAGCAACGGCATTGGATGTGAAGTTCTTGGAAGAGAAGGGTATTTACAATTGTCCAACCAATGATTCTCTCACAATTCAATTGGGTTGGTTTAAAGAAGTATTGCCTTCACTTTGCAATTCTTCCTCATGTAAGTTCTTTGTTTTCCCCTCTTTTTCCTTGTTGTATGCATAAGTTACATGTATCACATATCATATTTTGATTTCTCTATTTGGTTCGTGTGATTTTTTTCTTATATCTTTTTTTTTTTGGTTATTTAAAATCATGAAACATTATATGAAATACTAGAAAATGAATAAATCATATTTCGTTTTGTGCATATATATATATATATATATATATATCACTGTCTCTTTGAGATGAGTCAAACTATTTATCATAAGTCGTCATTTATCCCAACTTGTCCTAATTACCTTTTTAGGTCTTACTGTTGTGTTCGATCTTATATAAATATGATGGTGTGAGTTCTTTCAATTAGGTGAAAAATGACAAAAAATGGAAATGTTTATTTCATTTTATGTATATTTTCAGCTTTAAAATGAGACAAACTATTTACAATATTTTATGAATGTGATTGTTTTTGTCTTTTCTTCCCTGCCCCTCTTTTTGATTTTCTCTCTCTCTCACACATCCACATCCACGTCCAATAATCTCATTCTTGATTGCTTTAAGTCTTAAAATTCTTCAAAATGCTCATATACTAAAAGCTTTATTTTTGAAGAATTTTTATTTTTAGGGGTATTCTTGACTTTTCACAAATGAAGTATTCTTCCCTATCATTCTTATACACATTTCAAGCAAGTTGTTCGTGTCCCCGCCCCCCATGTATTGCAGGAAATATGAGTAACTTCATACATCTTTCTGCATAGTCCTCGTAATATATATGTTGAATATTACTAGTATCGATTTTTATGTTTTTTTTCCCTATTTCACTTCCTTCAAAAATATTTGACAGTCAAAAACATCTGGTTGAGGTATGCCAGATGAAACTTACATCTAAATTTTTAATGTTCCAGGTTGTGAGAAAATCATTGGAAAGTCAATCTTTTTCGTAGGAGAAATCGGAGGTAACGACTTCAATTATCCTTTTACGTTACGAAGGAACTCTACTCTTTGCATTGCACATCAAGCCTTTAGCCTCACTCTCTCAGCCTTTTCTGATGTTGACCGGGGTGGAAACCCAGATGACTCTCAATCCACTAGTGCATTTGCGATCTATTTTGGCCCCAGTTTAATTGCTTGGAGATCTAAGAAGCAACCCACAGTGGCCCGATCTAGCACTGAAGTGGAGTATATGTCAAGTCCATTGCCACAGCCACGAGTGAACTCATTTGGCTTCAAAACCACTTACATGAACTTCACATTTACCTCCCCACCACCCCCTTTCTCTACTGTGATAATCTAGGAGCTACTCATCTAGTGGCCAATCCTATTTTTCCCTCCAGAGCTAAACACATCTCCCTAGATTACCATTTTGTCCGTGAACGTCTTGTTGCAGGCTTAATTCATATTCTTCATGTTTCCTCTCAAGATCAAATTGCAGATATTCTGACCAAACCTTTAACATCTTCATGATTTACTAGTTTGAAGTCGAGCCCCACTGTGCTACCAGCCCAGCTCAACTCGTGGGGGAATATTGAAGCCCAATGTGTAAATAAAAGCCCACTAGACTCATACAACTAGCGTGCAGGACATTTTGTTGTTTCTCTAGATTCTTCTTGTCATTTATACGTGTCTTCCCAGTAGAAGCTAGGTTTCATTATATGTAGGATATACAGTGTACACAAACATTCAACAGAATACATAGTTTTATGTTTATTGTTTCTCTGCGTGTTGTCTCATTCTTGATTCAACATTCACAAATGAAGGATTACTCTTCCCCATCATTCTTATCCACATTTCAAACAAGTTCTTCATGTTTTTTCATATATTGTAGGAAATATGAGCGAATTCATACATCTTGCTAAATTGAATATTGATTTTTATAAATTTTTCCCCTTATCTCGCTTCCTTCAAAAGTATTTCACAGTAAAAAAAAAAAAAATCTTCAGCATCTGGTTGAGGTATGCCTGATGAAACTTGCATCTAAATTTTTAATGTTCCAGACTGTGAGAAAATAACCGGAAAGTCAATATTTTTCGTAGGAGAATCGGAGGCGACGACTTCAATTATCCTTTTTACGTTCCGAACGAGTCGCGCAGATATTAAAACTTACGTGGGCCCCGCCATTTTGGAAAGCTTTGTAGGACTTGCTTGCATTTTCAAATTTTCTTGGGATTCAAAATTTGTTAACTCTACTTTGTGAGACCTAAATGAGATTTTCCGATGATAAAAATAAAATAATGGATACGAGTGGGACACTTATCACACCTACTCTTGCCGATAGTTGAGACCGAGGCGGATCAGTTATTTCAAAGTGTTCTGGTCTGTTTAGATGCTTTTGGGAAAGCTTTCCGTACAGACGGTAAATGCTTAGGGGCATTTTTGTCAAAATGCTGAGTTAATTCTTCAGGTTTAACTTTTTTACATTTTCAATTTATAAAATTATGTTGACTCGTTTTTAAATTCATGTTAGCTATATACTCAGTTAAACTTACGGGTTTACTCATCAAGTTTACCGTTTTTATGTTTCTAACTTATAAAATCGTATCAACTCCTTTTTAGATTCATGTTAAAGTGACTTTATACATAAATTTCATAGAAATTTTTTTTATTGAATATGGTAAATTATAAACGTTAATGAATTTAATTTAAATTATTTGGATTTAAAATATATTTAAATGAAATTATTATGATTTTTATATTTTAATTATTTAATTATATGATTTAACACTAATTTATTAATAAAAGTAAACTCTTACGAGTTTGTGATTTAAGTTTTACAATCCGAGTTTACATCTAACTAGAAGTTTGTTTAAACTTGTGAGTTTGACAACCTTACTTAGGTAACGTACAATGTTTTTTTTCTACAAATGTTCGTCCTGGAGTTTACAAAATGAGCTCTGTGATTTATGTACGTTTGAGAGGAAGGAGGCCTTGGGAAGATACTTTTCTACGTTCATCACCCATGGTAGAAGTAATTATAAGAGCCGCTTCTAATTTCTTATTGACAAAGTGCAAAGGAAACTTATTGGCTGAAAGTCCCAAAATCTGCCAATGCAGTGGCTGGGAGAGACTGAGGTTGACGCAATCTGCAACATCCTAAATGTCCATCTTTCATAAGCAGAATAAGCACATCCCAAAGAGTGTGTGCAGGCCTGCAGGGACGTTGTAAGAGTTCAAATGGGCTTGGTGATACCAAGTGAAGATTTGAGTAATTTGAGTGAATAGGGATTAATTAGTGACTTAGCGACACCATGTGCATGCTAATAGGGAAAAGAAATAGGTGTACGGTTTGGCCTGCTTCTTATCCCGTGTCGCAAAATTTTGACGAGGTTGATCTTATAGAAGTGGCCAAGAGCTAAGTGTAAAAGATTTTTTGTGCATACAACATGATGAGCCAATGTTTAAATCTCTCTAAGATAAATACTTATATTTAGTGCCCAATAATATATCGAATAGAATTGTTTCTAATAGAAAGGTGCATATGCTTAGGGGAAAAAAAAAAGAAAAGAAAAATCCTTTGTGGAAGAACTCTTTGGGTGTCACTTAACCAAGAGATGTTTGATAGAGTTCATATTACTTCCTCTTATTTTTAATATCCTCCGATTCTAAATATAAGACTCATTTTGTAGTATAAATTAAACTACAAAATAGGTCTTATATTGAAGACTGTGGAATATAAAATTTAGTTTGTAGTGCAAATTACACTACAAACTAGATTTTATATTAAACACCAAAGGTAAGTAATATGTATTGATGATTAGGGGGGGAAAAAAGGGATAGCTGCTTTTGTCTGTTATATTTGAGCTTTTGTCAATGTGAAGAAGTTTGTATTAAAACGTACACAAATCATACTCTACCATTATTTTTGAGATACTACCCGAGGAAAATCATCCTTAATTACAAATCATTCCAAAAATGAACAATTAAGAAAATAATAAATGGATCAGAGGTTCACTAGGGTTAAAGAACAAATAAAGTGCAATAGTTCTATTTACACTTTTCACTTTGGTTTTTTCTTTTTCTTTTTTTCTTTTTTAAAAAAACGCAGCACGTATTATGTTATACTAATACTAACCAAAAAGATATTATTTGGGATCTTATTTTTAATCATTTCACAAAAATCAAGAAAAAATAGTTACATAATTAAAATTATGTAAAAATTGCTTTGATTTTCACCTTTACCTTTAATAAATACCATAAATTAGAAAAGCATATGCTCTATGTCCACTCATTAGAAATTGAGAAGGGTATATTTAAAGTGAAAATTGCAATAAAAAACCTTGAAATATATAAAATTGCAATTTGGGTACTCTAATTCACAAAGTTGCTGCTAAAGACTAGGTCTTAAATATGAATTGTGAAATGTTAGGAAAAAGATAAAATTGCCATTCTTCTTTTTCTTTCATCTTATCCTCTCCTCTTTCCTTCTTCAAAGAATACAAACTGATATTGGCTTCTGATGCGGCCAACAGCATCATTGGATGCGTGGCTACCTTATCAACTCTCAAATGCAAAGCCCCCACAGGTGAGAATTTTGATATTCCAAAGATTTATTATCGTAGTCATCATGGGGTTTGTGAGGTTAGATCGTAACTATGGGAAAAGCTACTATGTCTGCCCCATCAGAAGAGTATGTTATAAATCTCAAAGTGTTTTCCCCTTTCAGTTGGTGATGATAGCCGTTAGATGTCAGCAAAACTTGTGAGTTTTCCCAATTATTTACTGAGTTTGGAATTGGCTTCTTCTTTCAAGGGAAAAAATGCGGAGATTTTGTAGGATGGTGCGATGGTAATGATGATGAGAGTGATTTACGTCCTCCTCCATATAAATACCCAACGTGTTATTGTGGTGCGGATTCTTCTGTTCTTCTTATTGCGAGCCCCTTTCTAATTGTTTCGACTTTGAACAAGTTTTTGTGAAGCTATTTCTCATAGCTAGCCAAGAAATGAAGTTGGAGAGTAGTGGGTTCGGTGTTAATATATGTATATGCATTTGTCTGTGTAAGAAAAGGAGGCAGTGAGTCGGTATGGTGGATGTGAGATGAAATCGCCACATAATCTCTCTAACTTTGCCAATTTAGGACATGAGACACCAACATCATATTGGGATTTTTTTGGCAGCAAATGAAATAAAAAATAATATAGAAATTACAGCAAAATAAATGGCAGTCTACCCAGAATGCTTATAGCTCAACATAAAGGGAGGGCTCCTTCTAAGAAGGGGAACATACTAACAGCATTTAAACCTTTTGGTTCCATGAGTATCATCCCTCTGAATACAATATACAATACAATATGTCCACAGTCCATGGGTTTGTATGATATAACGAAAAAAGGTCTAACTAAGGGTGATATGTAATTTTCTATTTCAGACTTATAATTCTCAATTTTAGATTTGTAATTTTCTATTTCAGGCTTATTATTTCCTATTGTAGATTTGTAATTTCTTATTTTAGACTTGTAATTTTTTATTTTAAATTTATTATTTCCTATTTTAGACTTATTATTTTCTATTGCAAGGTTGTAATTCCCTATTGCAAACTTGTAATTCTCTATTTTATACGTTTAATTTTCTGTTTCAGACTTGTAATTTCCTATTATTGTAGACTAGTAATTTCCTATTAGATGGTAATATGAAATTGTTAAAATAATTCCAATTTCTACTCAAACTTGTAACTTTTTTGTAATTAATTATATATCTAATTGCAATTTTTCTTTATTTTAGTTTTTCAATCAAATCTTGTCGTGTGTAATTTTTATAGTTCTTCATTAGTATAATTTCCTATTACATATGGTGACCTTAACTTGATTTACTTATGTCTAGTAGGTTTAATATTTTTCAATCAAATCTTGTCATGTGTAATTTTTATTATCAATAACGGTCCAGCAGAGTTTTAAATTTTTATCTGTATTAATTTTTTATTAGGAAAAGTCCATATGCTCAAATTTAATTAGACAATTAGTGTATGGGTGGTAAAGTTGAAGGTAAGATTCATAGTTCACCTAATTAGTGTAAATAATTAGTGTGTGTGTGTGTGTGTGAGAGAGAGAGAGAGAGAGATGGGCTGGCAAAAAAAAAACTAAATTATTGAAATAATACCAATTTCTATCAAAATTTACGTTAATATGAATATCTTTTTAATACTTGTTATTTCACATATTAGACTTGTTATTGGTAATTTAATTGTAAAAATAATAACAATTTATGCTAAAATTTTAAGTTGTTGTAAATAGTTTTTCAACACTTATTAATTTTCATACTAGACTTGTCATTGACAACTAAATTATGAAAATAATGCCAATTTCTGCTAAAACTTGAGTTAATACCAATTTTCAATATTTAGTTTCTGATTACAAGTCTTTATTAAGAAAGAACAACAATGTTATTAACAATTATATTATCACTGCGTGGGGAGAAGTTTCCAGAGATTTCCCAGTTGTGGTATTAACTGGTTTAATGTGTGGTGATGGTTTAACACGTAGCATTATTTAGTGTTGGTGGACTCCGGATGGCTTTCCCTGTGCGAGGTCAATGTGTGCCCTACATGAACCATATTTAAAGCATTAATCGCTCATCTGGGGTTTTACGATTGCGAAAGTATTGCTACACATTGCGAAAGTATGAGGATCGTTCATCCATAGCCGTATTATATTTGCCCCATATA